CCCGCCGGGCGCAGGCGGGGCCTCCGGCGCGGGCGGGGCCTGCGCGGCACCCGCGGCGGCGCCGCCCGCGCCGCGCGCCCCCCGCGCGCGTCGGGGGCCCGAGCCTCCCAGGGAGCCTCGGCGCGCGCGGCGGGCCTGGCGCGGCGCCGCGCGGGCGGGACGGCCAGGCGGCCGCGGCCGCGCTCCAGGCTGGTGGCCAGGCAGCAGGGCCCACCGCGATCGGGTTCGATGCCGGCTTCCTTCTGAGCCGATTCGGGCCCGATGCTTGCCTTGTGCTGCTGTGCACCTGCGGCGCCGCCGATCCGATCTGACTGCGTGCTCGTGTTATGTGTTCGTGTTTCAATGCCAGCGGCTGCTCTTCATCTCGGCCTGGCGGCCGCTTTCGGGCTCTGTGCCGTCAGAAACGGATCTGGGACGACAAGCTGAACACCCGTGGGGCAGGGGTCAGGACCTTCTCGGGGCCGCGCAGGGATAACAAAACGCGCCGTCGGGTGCACTAGGGGCAGCGGCCCGTACTCAGTATCGTTGAACCAATCCCTATCCCCACCAGGCCATGGCATCTCAGCCCCGCCATCCCACCACCCCAGTTGCGGATACGTGCACGTACCCTGCAACGCCCGAAGGGAGCAGCGTATGATCCAGGGCTCCAGCCCTCCCCATCCCCAATGCTTACGGGATCGCCCCCCCCCGCTCCACAAGTAACGCCCGTGAGCCTCGCGAGGGCCTCAAGAATGGGATCGCCCCCCCCCCCCCCCACCCTGAGGCCGTGGCCCTGTGAGCGTGGCGTGGCGGAGGGGGGTGACGGTGGCCCCGCCCGCCCCTCCCCCATGTGGGTGTGGGGGGGGGGGCCGTCGTCCTCGTCGTCGTCGTCGTCGTCGTCGTCGTCGTCGTCGCCCCCTCCCATCCCATCTGGGAGCCTCGCGACGGCCTCGACCCAGAGGAAACGCACCGACCAGAACGCGGAGCAGCAGTGCATGGCAGCCGGCTGCCGATTCTGGCCCGTCGTCCAGGAGACGCAGGGCGGAATGGCCACGGCTGCCTACGCCGCGGTCCAGGCCACCTCGGCGGCGGTGGGCGTCAGGGAGCGCCGGGAGCCAGCTTCTGTCCGGAGAGAGCTATTTTCCCGCGTGGCCGCGGTGATATCTCGCTGCACGGCGCGGGTGTCAATCAGAGGGCGTTGCCGAAGCTGGCGCGCGGCGCGCCGCCACTGGTCTGGCAGGTCTTCTGGGACGCGCACGCGCAGGACGAGGTGTAAGCGGACCGACCCTCCGGCCTTCCCCTCCCTCTCCCGCTCCTCTTTCTATTTGCTTGGGTGCAGTGATATAGCGCAGCGCCCTGCCACGGGATGCCAGGCGTGCCGGGGGCGCGTCCCGAGCGCTGCGCCGCGGGTGTTTTCCCCCTCTCCTGCCCGCTGGCCCCTGTGCGTCTCTCGTGCCTTGCCTTGCTTCTGGCTCTCGGCTCCCCGCTCTCCCCCCTCTGCCTCTCCGCGTCCTCTCCTTGCCCTTGCGTTTCTTGGCCCGTGCGCGCGTGCTTCCCCTCCCCCTCCCACTTGGCCATGCCTCCCCGCCCCCCCGTCCGTCCGTCCGTCCGTCCGTCCGTCCGTCGGCCCGGTCTGTCCTCTCCTGTCGCCTTCCCTCCCTTTTCCCCCCTCGCTCCTCGGCCCCTCGTCCCTCTCCCTTCTCGCTTCCTGTGGCCTTCCTTCCCTTTGCCCCCTCCCTTCCTCGCTCCTCGGCCCCTCGCTCTCCTGCCCGCGCATGTCCTTGCCTGGCCTGCCTTCTCTTGTCGGACGGCCCCGCGATGCGGCGCTGCGTGTTGGGCGACCTGTCTCTTGAAGGGACCGGTTCCCTTCCAGGGGAGTATCGGAGCCGGCCAACAAACGTGCCCCAAGAGAGACGCGCCCTGGGGAGGGCTCCCCAGGGCCCTTCCGCGCCGCTGCTGCGACTGCTCGTGGAGCAGAAGGCGCGATCGGGCTCGATGCTGACGTTTGTCGTCGGTGGCGCCGCGACCCCCGCGACGCCCCAAGGGGGCCCCGTCGCCCCGGGGGGGACGCTTGGCCACCTCCAAGAGTAAGTCGGCCAGTTGGACCAAGGCCGCGCCACGGGGGGATAGGCATCGGATCAGCGATGTTTCACCCGGGGGTGCAGCGGCCTGGCTTGCCAGGCGCGGCCCTTGCGCGCGCCCGTTTTCAGGGGCCCGCGCGGGCGCCGCGGACAGGAGACCGAGAGACCGAGCGCGGCCCCTCCAGGGTTGACGCTGCTGCCTCCCCGGGCCGCAGGCGCCCGCGGCCCGCCCGGTGACGACCTCGGGCGGGGGGGGCTTCGAGGGGCCACGACCGCGACCGAGATGTCGCGGGCGTCCCGTCGACGCCGACCCTGGTCGTGGCCCATGCTGGCCGTCGCCGATCCGCGGCGGGGATGATCCACGAAACGTCTCGCTGACCCAGACGGGCCGTGACCAAAATCGGCATCGACGCTCCGCGCTCACACTTGGTCACGGTCCTCGTTTTTCCCTCCAGGTCCGTCCGCCCGCCCCCACTGTCGGGGATCTCCAGAGGCGCGGCGGGCCAGGCGTGCGCGGCGCGCGGCCACGGGCTGGCAGGGTGGCGCCGGCTCCTGGTTGGCAGGCGGGCCCTGCGGCCCAGTCGAAACCAGGCCCCCTGGTCGGTCTCCTGCCCTCCTGGGGAGCACGACGGCGTTCGGCTCCACAGGTGCGCGCCCTCCCTCCGCTCTGGAGACGCTTCGCCTCCAGAGTGGAAGTCCGACCTCCAGGCTGCAGGGGCTTGATCCTCTTAGGATCAAGTCGGGCCTGTCCCTCTACAGGAGGAGTGTTGAAAAATTGTCAAAACATAATCTGGGGACTAATATAATTTCTATAATTTTTTGGCCATTTGGGAGTCTTGTTTGACTATTCTTTATTTTTTTCCCCCAAAATGCCCCAACTCCTAGGTAGGGTCGCACTGGGATAATTTGACAATTTTGGAGTATTTTTCGACTGATTTCTATTATTCCTCCAAGATGCCCTTGTAGGAGGACAGGCCCGCCTTCATCTTAGGATGGCCACCCTGGCTTCCCAGGGGGGCGCAGGTGGCCTCCGGAGCACCCCTAATCATCACGAGGCGCAGAGGTTCCGGAGTGGCGGAGAGCGGTGGTGGCGCCTTCCGAAGAGGTCGCACGCTGCGACGAAGAGTGCGATCCCGACCAAAGTGACTCCAGATTTCGTAATAAAGGGAGGGGGGTCTCATTTCGGGGGGGGGTCTCTTCCAGGCCATCTTGGAGGGCCTGGGGGGGTCTGGGGACGATGTTTTGGAGGGTTCTCCCACGGGGGGGGGGTCTGAAATGGCTTGTCTTGGAGGGTCCATACCCCCTCCCTTTTATTGAATCGCTTCGCTCATTCCGCCGGCCCATAGTGTAGCGTCGCTGGCACTTGCTTGCGTGCTCGGGGGGGCATTTGGGTGGCCTCCTGGGGCCGCTTGGGGGCCTCTTGGGGGCCTCCTGAGGGCCTGTTGGGGGCCTCTTGGGGCCTCTTAGGGGCCTCTTGGGGCCTCCTGGGGACTTCTGAGGGCCGAGGGCTCGAAATATTGTTTCGTGTTCCCCCCCTGGGGTCCCTCTTGGGGCGTTCTTGGGGCCCTCTTGGGCCGTCTTGGAGGCCTCTTGGGCCGTCTTGGAGCCCTCTTGGGCCGTCTTGGGGCCCTCTTGGGGGCCTCTTGGGCCCTCTTGGGGCGGTCTTGGGGGCCTCTTGGGCCGTCTTGGGGTGTCGTGAAGCCGAAAAGGTGGAAACGCCAAAATCTCTCCAAAACCTAAGGAAAAGCAGTGAATTTTGCCTCTTGGGGCCCTCTCGGGAGTGCTCTTGGAGGCCTCTTGGGGCGTCTGGGGGCCATCGTGGGCGTCTTGGAGCGATCTTGTGGCATCTCGGACCCCTCATGTAGCATCTTGGGGGCCTCTTGGAAGCCTCTTGGCCCTTCTTGGGGCTCTCGGGGACGTCTCGGAGCCGCGTTGGTGCGCTGCTGGAGCGCCCTGGTGACTCCTCCCGGGACTCTCTCGGGACCTTGCCGGGGTACTTTCCGCCCAGGGGCCCCCAGGGGCCGCCCCGCGCGCGCGAAGTAGAAAGATTGTAAAGCAGTCACCGGAGATCTTAGCACGCCTCTGGCCCGTTGGGCCGGCGAATTACGAAATCTGGAGTAGTGTCCCTTCGGTCAACGCCCCTTCAAAGAAATCGTACATGGCGACGAAGAGTGCGACCTCGCGTAACATCGCGACCAAAGTCCTCGACCCCATCTTCCTGCGGCGTTTCTCGAGGGCCGCCGATGTGTGAGGGCCCCGGGGCCCGCAACAGTGGCGCGAAGAGGTGATGGCACCTTCCAAGAGATCACACGTTGCCACGAAAAGTGCGATCCCGACCAAAGTTAGTGTCCCTTCGGTCGACGCCCCGCCTGTAGCCCCCCCAGCACCGCGCGGGTCGGCATGCGCAGCCAGGGGCACAAGAGCAGGGGCGGGGGCACCATTCGGGCGCCTACCATGAGGTCGAGCGTGCCCTCCTGCAGGGGTGTTTTGGACGCAGAGTAAAGAATAGCCCCAGACTTCGCGTAAAATCGCGACCAAAGTCCTCGACCCCATCTTCTTGCGGCGCTTTTCGAGGACCGTCGATATGTGAGGGCCCCCAGGCCCGCAACTGGGCAAAACGCCCAGGGTGACAAAATTGCAACGCTAGGATCTCAGGGTTGGATCAGGACCACGTCTGGCAGTGCCCGATTTTCGTTTCGGCATCACCCAATCATACGTGTACTGTGCCTGCGTCGGTCCCCCAGTGGCGATGCGCGCGATCAGAAATGTTGTAGTATACGCCGTATACGCTCGTTGGCGGGCGCTTTGTGGCCAGACCGCCTGGGTGCTACATCTTCGGTGCGAACGTTCGCCTCGTAACGGGGGACGTAGTACCCAACGCATGCCCTTCTGGATCCCGACGCTCGCGGATGCTCGCGGCACACGCGCGAGCGCGCGCAGGCCCGCCGCGAAAGCCGCCGTCTTCGGGCGCAACACGACGGAGGAGTGGCGCGCGCCAGCGCCGGCGGAGGCGCCGCGCTCGAGCCAGGAGGAGCCCTTGCCGTGCGCCGCGGCGGCGGCCCCATCCTTCGGGAGGGGGGATCCAGGTCTTCCAGGTGGGGCTGGGGCAGACGGGGTCGGAGGATCGCGCCGCATCGGCGATGCGGCTCCATGTGGGGCCCGAGTTTCTCCATGCTGACGTCGCCGATACGTCGCCGTGGCATCGCCGATGCGGTGCGATCCTCTGACTCCATCTACTCGGACCCCATCTGGGAGGCCTTTTGATGGCGTTCCGTAACACTCCGATGCTCCCTCACAGTAAGTAACACGTTGATGTTTCCATCCGACCCAGACCTCCAACGCATTGAAACAATCAGGACGGAGGTTTTTCGTCGTTGTTGTCGGCGTCTGGGGGCCTTCGCCAGGCCCTGGGACCTGGGGGGCCCGTATGGAAAAATCAAGACATCGGAGGTCTGCGCGGAATTCCTTTTTCTTTGTCCGAAGACATGGGGCTCCCGTGCAGGGACAATAATAAGTTCGAACCCTGCGGCGCAGGATGCCCTGCCGCGCCCCCACGTTGATACTGAGGGTGCGGCAACGGAGAGGGCATGGGTGGATAAATAGATTGGACCCCCCACACCATCACCCATGCTAAAATCAGCATTGATTTCTGGGGCGGCGGGGTGATGAAAATCCCCCTCAAGTGTGTGATTTTTGAATATCATGTCCATGCACTGTCCGTGGCAATGTTTTGTCTTGACTTGCAGCATGTTCAGAAGGGCCCCCTAGAATTTTGATGTTCCGCGTGCTCCCACCGATCCATCCAGAAACGATCCCAAGGCCAGTTGCATTGATCAGAGAAGTGTCGGAGCATGCAGTCCAGGCCTGCACCGCAGATGTCGGCGGCGGGCGCGGGGGGGAAATGAGAAGGGGCGGGACTTCCGAGGCTTCTGAGAAGTTTCTGGACTTCTGAGAGGGCTTCTGAGAAGTTCTGTCTGTATTCGAAATCGGCCAAGGAAACGTCTCAGAAGCCCCCCGGACTTCTAAGAAGTCCCGCGGCCTTCTGAGAAGGCCTTCTCCTTCTCATTTCCCCCCTGGGCTCGTCGCCTAAGATGTTTTCGCGGATCTTTCCGAGGGAGAGGTCGAGGAGGAGGACGCGGTGGAGGAGGTGCAGGAGGAGGGGGGATGGCGCGTGGCCGCGAAGGTAATCGCGCCTCGCGGGACGCGACGCGCGGAACGCGTTTTCCCCGTTCCCCCCCTCCACTCACACCCTCTCTTGACCATCCTCCTCCATGCTCGCTCGTCCTCCCCGTTCCCACATTTGTCCTCCCCTTTCTCCTTCCACTTCCCTTGCCCCCTCGCCGTCGCCGCCACCTGCCAATTTCGCCCACGGCCGCGGTAGTTTTCGTCGCACGTCGTCCGTCGTCCATCGTCCGTCGTCTGTCGTCCGTCGTCAACATCGTTGTCGTCGTCCTTGTCCTCGTCCTCGTCGATGTCGTCGTCGTTGTCCTGGTCGTCATCGTCGTGGTCGTCATCGTCGTCGTGGCCGCTGCCGCCGCCGCCCCTGTTGCCGCCGCCGCCGCCGCCGCCGCCGCCGCCCCCCCCCCCGAGGAGTGGGTACGGGTGGCCGCCAACCGCCGCCGCCGGCGCCGGCCTCGTCGTCGTCATCGTTCGTCGTTCGTCGTTCGTCGTTCGCCGCCGTCGCTGCCGCCGGTGCCGCCGCCGGTGCCGCCGCCGCCGGTGCCGCCGCCGCCGCCGTCGCCGTTGTCGTCGTCGTCGTCGTCGTCGTCGTCGTCGTCGTCGTCGTCGTCGCTGCCGCCACCGCCCGAGCAGGAGTGGGTGCGGGCGGCCGCCGCGCGGCGCCCAGCCGCGCGCTCCAAGCTTCAGCAGAAGATGCCCCAGGCCGTTTCCGGGGAGGGGGCGGCTCCGACGACGGCGGCAGGCGGCAGATCACCATGTCTACTGGGCCCCTACGCCCCCCAGTCTCTGGGCGGGCCGCCGTCGCCGAATCCGTCTCTTGCGAAGTGCACCTGGTGTTCGGGACCGCCGCTGCCGCCGCGAGTTTGCGGCGGGGTCTCCGGCCGAGCTCGCCTGCCGCCGAAATGCGGGAGGGGCATCGATTGTCTGTATAATTGCCTTCAGCCCACCCCGCCACCGCGCCTGGGTCGCGGGCCAAATGATCCAAATAGGCCTGCCCTACAGGAGTCCTAGCTAATCATAAGTAGTTGGTCTTTAGGACCCCCCCCCTTATTCCAATGGTCCCCCCCTTTTTCCAATGGCCCCTCCCTTTTTTCCCAATGGCACTTGCTTGCTTGCTCTTGCGTGCTTGCTCTCGCTTTCTTGCCCTTGCTTGCACTTGATCGCTGGCTCTTGCTTGCTTGTCATTGCTCGCTTGCGCTTGCTTGCTTCCGCTCGCTTGCTTGCGCTTGGTTGATTTTGCTCCTCCAGTTCTCCTCCCGTCCTGCTCCCGTCCTCCCCTTCGTCCTCCTCCCATCCTCCTCTCGTCTTCCTCCTATCCTCCTATATATGTGGAGTCAACGCTGGCTGATCTTTTGTTGTGCAGTTCGTCGCGGTTGCGCGGTTTTTCCCTCTGTCTAGGGGGCTCGGGCCCAGGGGGAGTTTTAAGCAAAACCCTGTTGCGCAATTTGTCGCGGTTGCGCGGTTGCTTGTTTTGCATGGAGACTTCGGGCAAAGGGGGGTAAGCGATTGCGAAGCGGGATACTTACAGAACATTTCCGGAAATATGTTTTGTTATGTTTCGTGTGCGCGCTCGTGGGTTGAAGGTTTCGTTTGGTTTCGGACGCGATTGCGGGCGTTTTCGGATAAGAGAACGGAGGAACATTTTGAATTGGATTGCGGTGTCGGATTCAGGTTCGTATTTTGCGGCCCGCCGATCTTCAAGTCAGAAATGTGTATTATGAGCCTGCACGCGTCCATGCGCTCGAGGTGAGCATATCAACATAAATTGTCTACACCGTTATGCTTCCGTGTTCGTATCACGTAGTACACACAGTGTGCGCAGAGTCCGTCGCCGTCGTGTTTATATTGTCGCGTTGGTTTTTGCGCACGGCCTCCGACAGCTTTTTTTGTAACACGTGCTTAGTGTCCGGGGCGTCGGCCGCCAGATTTTGGGACCCCCCGCGTAGTGTTTTATGTCTTTTCGTGGCCGCCATGGAAATCCTTGCGAATACTTGTCCTAGAGTGTCGGCGTGGTGATGGCGGCAGGCGATGTTCGACGTGCAACGCTCGAGATTTTCAAACGTTCTCGTCGGGCCTCGGCGGCTTTCCAGCCTCGGGGTGCGTTTCAGCAGCTGCGCCTCGCCGAGGACGTTCCGGGCTTGCCCAGATCGCCCCGAACGAGGAGAGGGACAAGCTTGACAAGGGCGTCGGCCGTGACGATGGCGACGAGGGCGACGACGAGAAGGGCGACGACGAGGTGGACGACGACGAGGTGGACGACGGCGTCGACTGCGAGGACTAGGACGGCGGCGAGGACACGGACGGCGAGGGGAGGGAGCAGGGAGCCGAAGGAGAAAACGCACGGTAATCACATCTGCTCGGAGGTCAGCGCAGATTTTATGTGTCGGCTCTGGGCCCTCCTAGAGCGGCGCCTCCGCCGCTGACCGTGGCGCGCTCCGCGCGACGGAGACGGTCCAGCGCGGATCCAAGCACTCTACAGTCAAAAACCCTAATAAGGACGCGCGACTTTGCTCAGGGTACCCTTGCGTCCTTTCTCTTCCTTGCTCTTGCGTCCTTCAGGTTTTCGCCGTCCGCCGCCCCAAAAATCCCAACTTCGGCTTCCGAGGGTCTTGCGTCCTTACCGCGCGTCCTTATTTAGGGTTTTTGACTGTAGGTCATCTGCGGGGGCGCGAACAGCATCGCGCTTCGCGCGCCGCGGTCTTGGCGAGAGCGGCTGCGCTTCTCCGAAGGGCGGCGCGAGGGCGCGGGGGCTCGAAGATGGCCGCGCATCGCGGGGCTCGAGGCGCGAACTTGGGTGACCTGGGAAATCAGTACGGACCTCCGACGGCCGTTGCTTCGTGCAGTCTTTTCTTTTTCTCGGGAGGGGGCGAGGAGGGGGGAGAAGGAGGAGGGCCTGGCCCAAGGCAGCCCTGGGTGTCCTCTCCCCTGTCGCCCCGTCTTTCGTTCCCCCTTCCTGTGCTGGTGTCCTCGTCGTCGTCGTCCTCCGAGCTTTGTGGGCCAGTGTGGCTTCCACAGCCCGTTGCCGATCGAGGCCCTCTTGAAGCTAATCTTGAGCCGAACAGCTCCGAATGTATCCGGTTATGGCGGCGGCAGGCGGCAGGCGGCGGCGGTGCCCCAGGTCGTCAGGGACGACTCCGACGAGGGGGAGTTGGACGGGTGACGCCCTTCTCCTCGCTCCCCCATTCTCGCTGCCGGGCTCCTCCCCCCGTTCCCCGTCCTCCGCCCCTTCCGCCTCCTCCTCCTCCTCCGCCTCCTCCTCCTCCTCCTCCTCTTCCTCCTCCCCCTCAGCCTCGATGGGGCCGACCTCGCCTGGGTCAGGGCCGAAGGCGAGTCCTCGACGCGTCCGTCGCTCCTCTTGGAGAGGAACTCTGAAGGAGGAAGGGCAGAGGCGAGACGTATCGAGCGTGTGTCCGCGGCCGTTTGGGCCCAGTGACTGGCCACCCATTTGACTGTGCCTTTTCTGAGGCGCGCTACCATACAGCGAGACTGAAAGGAATCATCCCTTACTCTTGAGATGTATCGCCGCTCTCGCGGTTTCTTCCCACTTTTGTGACCATCGTTGAGACGGTACAACAGAGTTGGGCGTATGCTTCGCTTTAGGCGAAGCATCTGGTTGGGCCCCCCGACCAGCTTCAAATTTGGTAGCGGAGCTGGCCGTTGGTGCTCAGCTCTAGCTATATTCCTTGCTATCCACGGCGCTGTATGGTGGACTACCGGCATGGTGGAACATCAGGGTGGAGTGGCTCTACGTGGAGGAGTTCTATACCATCGCAAGGACTTTTGCACTGCTGCCTCTGCTCACGCAGAGGGCTCTTGCCTGAGCCCTACGTGTCAGCGCTACTACACTCTTGAAGTCCACCCACCTACGCCACTTGGAGATGTCTTCGAAGATACTACGCGTGGTAACATGCGATACGATATCGTGCCGCCTCCATCCCCACGCAAATTGACGACAACGTCACCTCACAAACAACAGCCATATACAACCGATTCTGACCGACGCGGCCATTGGATTGGCATCACTCTATTTGGCCTCCTCAGGGTCGCCATCGGATGCGTTGTTGGACGTATGCAGCGCGTTGGAGACGACGCGCGCACCACCAGCCCCCATTGGGGCCCTGCCGGTGAAGTACCTTCTCCGCGAGTTCGCTCGCGAGGTACATGTTTGGATCAACGTGACCACAGGCACTATGACCCCCTCCCAACAGGTCGCCGCTCTACAGCGTGGCCTTGGAGGCCTCGCAAGGGCCATAGCCATGAGAGCTCCCCCCCGCAGTAATCAACTTTGGTGTTGACATCGGTGGTCGCCACACCGACGGCGCCACCTACATAACGTTCCTCCTCAGCACTAAGTTTGAGAAACTGGAAGAGGAACGACAACTTAACTCGGGAACGGCTCTCATTGACTTTCGCGTCCATGCGGGAGAAGGGATCGACCAGGCGCTGGCCCGCATCGAGACTGCACGCTTCGCAGCTGACACCGCGGGGTTTAACATCCCAAACTTCCAGGTCCTGACAGTCATATTGTCCAGGGCTCTAGGTGATGGTACTTCGCGCGCAGCAACTGCTAAAACCATTGGGCCGCCAAGCGCCAGGGACTCAGCAACAGTTCGACTCCTTACTAGAGCGCGCGAGGGCTCACGCCCATATTGCTGAGCGACCCCCGGCAACATTGTGGCCACGGCGCTGATGTCTTTCATAGCGACACCCATGCTGGGCAACCTGCCAGCAACTTCTGGAATGACGATCCACAACGAAGCCACCACTCCTTATTAAGTCAGCAAGGTGGCTTGCCCATGGGGGCGCAAGACTCCTGGGCTCGATGCCAGGGGCCGTCGGCCACGGCGGCCCCTGCCAAAGCCACTTTCCTCATGGGTCGGCAGGGCAACCTGCTGGGTCCGAATTTGACTCTGGCACCGACGCTGACACGTCGTCAGATGAAGGAGTTGGCAACCTGGGTTCTTCCGACATGCCCGTGAATCTCTCTGAAGAGCAGCAGGCGCAGTGGATATTTTGGGGAAACCAGAAGCACAAACGCCGATGGAGATTTTCATGAAGAAACGAGACCGAAGGGCGCGACGCGCAGTTCGACGCGTGTCTAGGGCAAAGGACAAGGGTAGAGGTAAGGGTAAACGACGACGGTCACATGGTAGAAACATGCTAACGTTCCTGGCCTCCCCTACGGGGCCACAGCATGAGGAAATCTCCCCGGGGGAAGGGAGAGGCCGTGGGCGCGCCTCAGGAAAAGTGATGGGCGTCGGGGTAACCCGAAGGATGCCAGCGGGAAAACCATGGAATGTGACATCTGCCATAGCACCCGCATTTTCGGCGCGAGTGCCCCCGGGGCGACGGCGGGGCAGGGGCCCGTCGACACATTCGACCCAAACCGATTCTGACATGCAGCATGTCGATTGGGGTGCCCTTCTTGCCGATGCAGGAGACGCCCCCGCAGCCGCTGCTCATTTCAGGCTCGGACTGCGAGATGGTGGGGGCGCCTGCGCGCTCCGACGGGCGCGAGCTGGATGCAGCGAGTCCCCTGGAATAAGGCCCAGTTCGGGTTCGGAAGGGGCTCGGCGATTCCTTGGGTCTGCTGGCGCCTCTCCAGGGTTCCTGGGCGCGCCCGAGAAGTTCTTTCCATCCGGATGGGCCCCCATGGGTCCCTCGTGCGAGTCGCGGGGCTGATGCCTGGGGGCCTTCGGGCCGTTCCTTGCGCGGCACTTGCCGGTGGCGCGTTTGTTTTTTTCTTGTTGCGCGCCGCGGGCGCCCGTTCCTCCGGTCTCGGCTGAGGGGGGGGTCTCTGTCAGAACGAGAGGCAACGATGAGGAAACGCTTCCAAAAATGGGCTCGGCCGCTCTTTTCGCATCTATTATGTGATTATGAAAAGTATGGGCTTCGTTCCTTATGTAGCATTCCTTCTGGCAGGGGCCTGACTGCAGTTCTGATGATGACACGATGCCAGCTGCGGAGGAGGAGCTCCAAGCGTCGCTCCGACCGCGGGCGATTGGGAACCCGGCGCGCAGGGTAACTTGCGAGGGCGATCCTCTGCGGGGTGACCCGCGCGACGCTGGTGGCCTACCTGGGCGGGTCCAGTGCGAACTCGGACACAGCGAAGGCTCGCGCTTCACTTTTATGCCGCGCGATCGCCCCTCGAGCCGCAAGGCTTGGAGACGCGTGGAGCGCGCTTAAGGCGAGGATGAGGAATGGGAAGCCGAGAGCAATCCGCCATGCCATCGCCGGCGGAGTCATTTGCGCAGGCGCCCGCGCGCCCGCCCAAGCGGCACGCGGCGCCCTCGTCCACGAGATCCGATGGGGATCGCCATGGCAAGAAGGGCGCGGTCGCGGGACAACCCGCATCAGGGCGATGAATGCTCGGGCGAGCCTGAAGGCCAGCGTCGATTCTGACTAGTCGGTGAACAGGACGACGGGCTTGCCCGCCAACGCGTGCCAGACGGCTACGCAAGGCGCTGGCGGGAACAGGGCCACGTCGAGCATCGAATCCGCCACCGCTGGTCATTGAGGAACGTGCAGCGGGATGAAAACACCGGCAAAACCATCCGTTCCAACACAAGAGGCGGCATTTAGACCGCTGAAGCGTCGGAAAGGAGTGCCGGCAAAAGTGCCGCCATTGCGGATCGGAGGACGCACCGAGAGAAGGCTTGCGGATGCGATCACTTCGCGGACAACAAACCAAATCGCCCGATGGGGCGCCCCTCGAGGAGCCCCAACTTCGGGGGGGCCCGCAACGCGCGTGACAGAGATGGCCGCCGAACGCCAGCGCGTCCGCAACCAGCTGCGTCAGGAGCCAGTCCTTACCTACAGCAGTGAAGCTGCATGCCTGTCGAGGACACTCTACAAGGCGAATGTGGATGCGCGGCTAATGAACGAGAAAAATCATCGCCGCTGCTCGAAGTGGCTTGCTCCAGCCACCCGGCACCAGCCGTTTCATAATGCTGATATCTCGCATCCTTCTACCGATGCCGTTACCTCGTGCGACGCGTTCGACGGCCAGGCATGCCTCGGCGGTTTACCGGCAAACTGGCCCCCAGAAGGCTGCGGCAAATATCGCAGTAAATACTTGGACGTCGTCAAGAAATGCCTCTGGCCCAGGCGTCGGGCGCGCCGAGCACTAGCTGCGCTGGAGATGCGCGAGATGGTCGACCGCCACGCTGGCGCGCAAAAGAACCGACCGCAGGTGAAGAAGATCGAATTCTGCGGGCAAGCCTGCCCGCCTTACTATCTGCGGCCCGGCAATGGGCGCAGCAGCCCAGGCATTAAGTGCCCGGCATCGCAGTACTCTCGAGTTGCAGACCTGACAGTGGCGGGAGCGCCCCGCTATTTCAGACACGGGACTCAGTGGAGGCACATCCCGAGCATATTGACTGTCGGCAGATTCTGGCAGACAGATGATTCGTGGATGCCCAGATTTGCTTGGAGATAAGCGCATCCAGTCGAGCCTGCGGGCGGACGCCGAGGTGATGATGCTAGTTGGCATCAGGAACCTGATTCGAGACGGCATTCCAGTGTGGCGATCCGCCAGCGATATCATTGTCACTTCGGGGGTGAATGGTCACATTCCGGCGAGCTCCCTCGTCCAATTTATTGGCTCGAGTGCGTGCGCGACAGAGTTGGACAGGCATCAGTCAATGATCTATACGCCTAAGCTCTGCGGCACAACTTGCAAAAGTTTAAGTTTGCACCGCAGGAATTGTACGAGCGACCCTATGATCCCCCCACATTCTCGATGTTCATGCTGCAAGGTGAATCCAGGGGGGGCGCCTGCAGATGGCTCTGATGGATCCTGGAGACAGGCCCCGTGCGCGGATGCGTCGGGCATCGCATCCAGTGGTGCGACGCCAGACGATGGACTCTTCGCCAACGACCCGCTGCGCAATCAGGCGCAGCAGCTGCCGATTCCCGCGGGGCAACCTGCTGTACTTACGCCTATGAGTGGGCCCGCAACTCTGTGAGGTACTCCACAGAGTGTTGGTAGCACTAACAGCTTACAGGCCGGACTCCAGAGCATGAGGGTGGATCCGCAGCTCTACCGGGCCTGCAGGCCACATCGCCTTCTCCACCCCCGCGTGCTGCAGCGCCACAAACTGCCCCGACGCGACAGCCAGTGATCATGGACCAGTGCGGCAACGCGCGTCCCACGACGGAAGCAGCCCAGAGGGCCGACGGCATGCTGGGGCTGCAGCAGTGGA